GTCCAATCGATTTGCTTCTTTTATATTGTCCGTATCGTTATTTATGAAATTTATTTATTAATCCTCGGCCCGTTTCCACGACTGTACCGTCGACGATGTTCCGAACAGTTCCGAGCATTGTTCAGCGATTTTTCCAAGATATTTCCCGCGGATTGTTTATAGTTTAATTATTGGCATTTCTCTTGTTTCTAATGCAAGAGCGGTTTATTTGATTTAATTATTGAAGGTGTGTATTTATACAAAACATATCTGTATACGTAATATATAAATATATATAATATATCTGTATAAATATATTACGTACATGATATGTATTATTATATGTAATTATTATTGCAATTATATATGTATAATATATGTATATATAATTATCTATACATAGACACACACATATATACACATCATACAAAGTAGGAAGAAGAGTATGACAAAGAGACATAGCGAGCATGATAGGTCCATATGTAGTGGATACAATAGATGAGAGATTTTATCAGTTACACAAGCAGTTGCCAAAAGATCAAATAGAAAGCCAAAGGAAGCTAATAGGAAAGAATTAGGTCTTTCATCTTCTAAAAATATCGAGCGCGACATCCCCGCGGATCTCTCTTGCCGTTCGCCGCGAAATTTTCGGCGCGGCGCAGCTGCTGTTACGCTCGCGACAGCTCGTCCCGTTCCATTTTCTCGCGGCCTTTCTTTTGGCTTTCCTCTCGCCTTTTCTTTCGCGTTTACCGGGAGCGCACCGAAATGGATCTTGCACCGTTTCCACCGAGGCTAGGCCGATTCCTGGAAGCTCCAGAAGCGTCGCGTCGCGTCCCGTCGGTCGAACACGCGGTTGCGATTCTCGCCGCGCGGTCCAAAGTGCACATATCGATCGGTTTTAATTGTATCTCTCGTCGTTCACCGGCGGCGGTTCCGCGACAGCTCCGATCGAACGTCGCCGGTCATAAAGTCGAACGTCACCCGGTAATTCGTACGCGAAAGCCGGGGCTGAACTCCGCCGGATCCGGAAACTCGTTTCGCATCGACTGTCGGCCGTTCGTAATTAGATCTGTCGTAGTTGAAGCGCGCGTCAAGAGACGCGGCCCGCGAATTACGAATCGAAAGAGAGAGAGAGAGCGCGAGAGACTGAGTGATAGCGAGAGAGAGAGAGAGACTGAGAGATAGCGAGAGAGAGAGAGAGAGAGGGATGATCGTCGACAGGAATCGGTTGAAACTCGTCGAGAAAGAGGCCAGGCAACCGCGTTTTTTACTATTAACGATCCACCAGCGATACCGCGTCGAATTTCCTCGTCGCCGCCCTGGAGAGCTTCGGCTGCCGGCACACATTAAAATGAAAAAGTTGTGAATGGAACATGGAGAAACGATGACTCAGCGAAGGATTTGGACGAGCGGGGAAAGGGCGAGCCGGTATTCTCGTTCCACGTGGAAGTTTCGACGGTGCATCGAGAGTCCCTCGTAGATCGGATCCGTTTCTAAATTTATACGAAAACCGTGAACCGTCCGCGCGATGCTCCACCAGCTGCCAGGAACGATCGCGAACCAGGGCAAACGTAGAGACACGGCCGATGCTCCGCGATTTCGCAATCGAATCGAAAATCGCGTTCGCTCCGGCAGATTTAGCTTTTATTTTCTTAGCTTTATTATTCGTTGTTATTCGGATTTTTATTCTTTATTTCGCGAGCTTCGTGAAGCCCTTCTGAGGCACAGTTTAAGTCGCAAGAGAGACGGCAGAGGAACATTGATGACAGCGAAGATTTACTTTCATTTGGTTCATTCGCAGTTCGAGACGTTCCAGTTGTACAATTTTATTACTCCAGTAAGCAGAATTGGGCGTAATTTATTCGAATAAAGTTCGATAATCGTAACATTGCTCGGATAAAATTATCCGCATTAAATTATCGTAATGAAATTATTTTAAGCAGAATTGGGAGTAATTTATTCGAATAAAGTTTGATAATCGTAATATTGCTCGAATAAAATGATTCGCGTTAAATTATCGTAATGAACTTATTTAGAAAATTGTTTTAAAAATCGTTCTATTCGAAAAACAGGGTGGTACTCTCGGTTAAAAAAGTTCCAACGCGCGCGAACAATCGATTACGTAATTTACGATTTTTGAATCCACTAATCGAATCGACTATGCTTCCTCTGTGCTCGGGCGTAGACATTGCCGAGATTTGGTGCTCGGGACGCGTGAACGGCCGTTAACAGCGTTAACAGCGTTAACGGGGTTAACGGGCGGCCTGTTAGCCGTCCGAGAAAGAAAGACGGGCGCAGAGAGGGAGCGATGGGACGCGCGAAAGGGGAGAGAGATCTCCTCCGAATCGATCGTCTGTGTGCGTAACCGTGAAAACCGTAGCGATGGTAGTACGCCGGTGGGGTTCGCCCCTTTATCGTCGCAAAATACGAAATACGAATCATGGTTCTTTTTAGTACCCTTGGCTTGGCAGTCGTCGTTGCCGGTTATCGGAGATCGTTTCCGCAGCGCAACGAACGACCAGCGAAGACGATACGTCCGAAGTATATCAATATTTTATGTTTATTAATGTCCGGAATATCGATACACATGATGTCGATATTATTTAATACCGATACGTGTCATTAAATTAAAATCTGGAGTTTCATAGCTGAACAAATAGAAAGAAAGTTAAAATATATACGCGAGTTAAATATATAAACGAAAATTATTATTTAATAATGCATTTTTAAAATTATCCACGCTAAAAAAGTAATTCGTGTATAATATAATTATATAATAGTAAACGCGATTATATGAGTATTAGATGAGAGAGATTTATTTAGGGATTTATTTAGGGACTTATTGTGGTCGATGTTATTTCGAACCAACTGGACTTCGATATCCCGAATTTGCTAATCGATAGCGAAGCATATTGTCGCATTAAATATCGTTACGTTCGGCACGAAGGATATCGATATTCTAAAATTATTATCGATACGTCTCGCCGTCGCTGCGACGAACGCGTTCGAGAACTACGGGCAGATGTTCGCGACCGTTGTAAACGATTCGATTAAACGACGCCGCAATCGGGGTCCATTAGCCCGTAGATCGACGAGGCTCGCGAGAACGAATTCAACTTCATCGTTCCGTCTCGTATATTCCTCGGCCGTGTCGAACGCGGGACGGGCCGAGAACGTTCGCGATCGTTGCTCGTCGGTATCGATCTCCTTGTCGTCGGGAGACGACGAGAAACAAGGAAAATTGTAGAGAGTCTCGGCGTAATGAAAACGTCGGCGATTCGCGGGCAATGGGACAAAGGGATGGAAAGGGGGGAAAATAGCGGCCGACGACCCGCGCGCGTTTTCGCATCGCGGCACTTTTCCATTGAGAAGCGAGACGCGAAACCGTTGCGGCGACATTCGAATCGCGCGACGCGCGACGGACAAATACTCCTCTCGAAACCTTAGACCCGTATGTACATATGTACACCTCTGCGGAGACGCGGCTTCGGATCATTTTTCTGAAGCAAAGATAAACCCCCCGTCTACGTGACGTCACGCGTCGACGACGTCAAATATATTTCGTTTAATTCTAGACCGCAGATCTATATGCAAAATAAAAATTAACCGCATCGACTTGCAGGACATGCTCAGGAGCAGCTCAGCTGACATTTATTTCCTTTCTCAGCAAGTTCAATGAGCTTTGGGCGTTGTACAATAGTATTTATACTTACTAGTAAATAATAGTATTTTTTATTATTTTTAATTTTCGCTGTTTCGAATCTTAGCCCATTCATTTTTGTCATAAACGCATAAAATCCGCAGTCTACTTATTGCTTATAATAACAAACGTAATCTGAAATGCAACAACAACGCCACGAAATCATTGTTGTTAATTGCATAATACGATTCGATCAGTCGCGTCGGTGTTGGTCCGCCGCGTCGGCCATTTTGAATTACGTGCCTTTTGTCCACGCGCGCGCGACGTCACATTCGGCCCGTTACCTTCGCTTCGCTGGATTCTTGGATTTCCTGTACACGTAGTTATTATACACGGGCCGCGTCTAGCAGTGCTGTACGGTGTAACAACCGTTGCCGGAGATATCGTGTTTACGCAGGATCCTGTTCGACGACGTCCTCGCTGCCTGGCGAGCATCGTCGGTTGCTGCACAACCGGAGTCTGCTAGCGCCGGTGCCAGCCAAGTGGGGCAAGTGGGACAAGTGGAAGAAGCGGGAGCGAACGGGAGAAACGGGAGTAAACGGGAGAAGAGAAAAGAAGGGTGCTTTCCAACCCCGTTGACACCCGCGCTCCTCCCTCTTTCTTCTCCTTTCTCCTCTTTCCTCTCGATTGTTCCGCGAGCGAATCGCGTGGGCTGCGAGTCCGCGATAGCGACGCGCGAAAGAAACATGTCGGATCGTGTCGCGCACAAAGCTAGTCAAGTTTGCGTCAAAATCGTAGAACTTTCGACAGAAATTATATATATATATATATAGAGAGAGAGAGAGAGAGAGAGAGAAGAAGAAATACATCTTTTCTTTTTTAAATGAAGCTCGAAACTTCAAACTACCATTTAACACTAGAACTACCAAACCTACAGTCAAAATAACTGTTTTCTGATATTTTCTTTTACAGTTCCCGGTATTGGTTTAAATAAATCCGATCTTGCTGTTGCAACGAAATGATGTTCATCGAGTCGCGCGTAGGTTAAATTCGAAACTTCAAACTACCATTTAGCACTAAAACCACCAGACCAGTCAAAATAATTGTTTTCTGATACTTTCTTTTACAGTTTCCGGTATTGGTTTAAATAAATCCGGTCTTGCTGTTGCAACGAAATGATGTTCATCGAGTCGCGCGTGGGTTAGGTTTTAGGTTAGGTCGCGTAGGTTCTAGCGCGTCGGATACGGGAAGAAGGGAATTTTCGGACACGCGAAACCGGCTTTTCGAAACGCGGCTCGTGCGCAGCCGATTCGAAGTCGCCGGCGAAACGCTATCGATATCGATATCCGTTACCGATACGAGCCCTTTGATATTATTGCAGACGGAGCTCTCGCAAAATTTGCAGCAGCTGTCGGAGAGGGCCCGCTCGACGACGGAATTCATTCAGAGGCTCAAAGGAATGACGGACAAAGTGCACGTGAGTATTCGCCTTTGGCGTCCTCTTTAAATTTCGCTGCTCTCCTCGGCTCGGCCCGGCTCGGCTCGGCTCGGTTCGTCTCCTCGGCGAGCCGTGCCGAGCCGGGACAGGAAGACTGGTTCCATGAAATTACGGAAGGTCGCCGCGTTAATTGCACCGGCTGTCGCAGTGCCCCCGCCGCCCGAGCCGTTCTCCGTCTCGCTTCCTCGGCTCGGCTCGTCTTCGCCGACGTTATTACAGAGAACGCGAATTACCGCGCTGGAGGCTCGGGGAGCCGGTTCGGCAGAACGAATTACATTCGATGATCTAATAACGTCGTCTAATGGTGTCGCCGGTTTCTCGGTCCGCAGGAGGAGTGCGTCGCCCTTGAGGAGGAGGTGGAGGACAGGGTGGCGAATCTGGTGAGCGTGCTGCAGGCGAGGAAATCGCGGCTGATCGAGGCCGCGCGGCAGACCAGAGAGGCGAGGGTGCGCTCCCTTAGGGACCAAGTGGCCAGATGCGCGTCCCATTTGCAGGCGACCACGGCGCTTCTCACCTTCTGCATCGAGGCCCTGAAGGAAACCGACAGCGCGGCGTTCCTCCAGATCGGCGGTATGCTTTCCGTCCGGGCCTCGAACGCCGCCGGATCCTGGGGCGGCGCCGAGGGCGTCCAAGAAATCGCGAGGCTACCTCTGCTCGATCTCACACTCGACGACAAACCCCTGCGACGCGCGATCGATCAGCTCACCTTCGTTCAGATGAAACGTGAGTTTCTTCTCGATGTCGCCTGCAATTACCGTCCCTCTGTCGCTCGGTGTACACGAATGTGCCTTGTATTCGCTTGTCGCTACCGTAATCGTCGTAATGCGTTTATATTACTGGACCGCGGATCTCGATGCGTTCACGTCCTGTCTAGATTTTTTAAATGCAAGAGTACGCGGGAATTAACGAGGTCTAACTGCATGTTTATTGTACTCTTGCAACGAGTGATCGTTCAGTTGTCGAAGGCAATTTAATTTCTGTGAAATAAGAATTTGCGCGAAGATCCGCGGTCTACTTGTCACCGTTGATCGAATACAAGCAAACGATTGCTCCATGTTGGACGCAGCATCCGAGGGAGAAGAACGATTTCCAACCGCAGGTAACACTGGTCCACAAGATCCGACCCATTTTTTGTTACACAAGGTTTAACGGGTGATCTTGACAGTATTGTTTACGCTGGATTCGCACGTGCGAGCCGTTCTTCTCTATCGCGCGAGAGGTTTACGAGTAAGCTGTGAAATATCATTTAAAATAGAACAGGTATTGAGGGAGAATTTAATAATATTTATCGAGATAAAATTCATCTCTTTACACCTTGTGTATCGGGGGAGGGAAGATCGTATTAATGTCAGTAGGTTTAGGTAAACAGTTCATGCAGAAATTCGTCTTGAATTTTGTGATATTGGTTGCAATAATGTCTATTTCATCAACGTTGTAATTAACAAGTTGAACGATCCTGTAAAAAGGGTGGTCACTAAATTTCGACGAGTAGAATGAAGATTTAGTTGAGGAATTAATTAATTGGGGATTAATTGAGATGCTCACTATTCGCGATAGGAAAGAACGGATTCCGAGCGAGGAATTCGGCGAGGAAAGATACAAAAGAATCGGTGTAAATATTCTCTGTAACAAAAATCGTGTTACAGAGCTAATGTAATGTAATGTACGAGCTCTCTCGTATCGTCGAAAACCTTGATCACGGTAGTTCTAGTTCGGCGAGGAACTGTAGGCAGTCGAATCGCGGCCGAGTCGTCTAATATCGAGTGGTTTTAGCACCGGGCGCGCCTCTCCTGATACCCGAAGAATGTAGCGCCGAGAACAACAGCGTGACAGTCGCCTGGCAACCACCGCCGGGTCACGGAATCGGCGGATGCACCGCCGGCCAGCGGGGCCCCGCCATCGAAGGCTACCTCTTGGAGCTGGACGACGGGTGCGGCGGTGAATTCAGGGTGAGTCCGAACACGAGTCTCTCGAAAATAGTTCCCCGATCGAATCGCCATCGATCTCTCTGTGCTCCGGCAGGAGGTCTACTGCGGCCGGGAAACGATATGCACCGTGGACGGGCTGCACTTCAACTCTCTGTACAACGCCAGGGTGAGAGCGTTCAACAGCGCCGGAGAGGGCGAGTACTCGGAGCTGATCGGTCTGCAGACTGCCGAGGGTAACGTTTCCACGTTTTTCTCTCCTACCGTTCTCGATCCCGATTCCGAAAATAGCCTATTGTGGTAACATAAAAGTGCCTATCGTGAAACAGGGGTGCGTGTAACATTATCATCGATTCCGCTGCAATCGAGGAGCGCGTTATCGTTGAATATTTATGCTACTGTTCGATAGATGACGTAATGAATTTCCAGATATTTATTTAGCAGGAATATAAAAATAATTCCTATCGAATACGTTTTCAAATAATTTGAATACGTGCGATATGTTCTTGCTTATTGTATATATTATTATTATTATATATGTTACTATAATTAACCGTATTCTATTTTTATAGTTGATAGTAGCATAACAGTATCCGTGGGAGCGAATTTATAAAGAACATTGTTCAAAAATATCGGTAGAATTTTTACATCCACTTTGATATGCTCCGTCTAGTTTTTATTGTATCATTTTTGCTAGCGTTTCGAGGAGAGGTTGCAATTGACCGGTGTTTCGAAATAGGCACTTTCACGTTATCTCGAAAGAGAGCGCAGAAAAGTCGCGTCCGCGTCCGTATTGAACTGATTTCACAACGTTATCGGTGTTATCGGTGTCACGCATCCGAGCCGCGATTTCGTTTTCCAATATTCGGAGAGCCGCCGTGCATCGCGTCGACTCGTATTTAATCCGTCCACTCGATTCCGCGGCTCGAGAAGAATGCTCTATCGATTCGCCTCTACTCGAATCGGATCCAGTCCGTCGCGATGCGAGGCGAGCGAGAAGAGGCGAGGCGAGGCGAACGAGTATCGACCGCGTCCGCGAAAAAGTTCATCTATCGCCGCCGTTTGTTGCTATTGTTATTATTAACAGGTATCATTATTGTTATTAATGTAATCCGTTTTATATACATTACCTAATGACAAACGCGAAAATGATTAGCAACTAATCGAGCTACAAATGCAACAGCTAAGAGAGCAATCCGTAAACGATGCTTGAATACAGCAGAGATCTATGTAAATATATCATTTTTGATTTCTTTCGGTAATTTATCCAATTTGTCCTAGTAGATGTGGTCACAGTCGCTGTGATAATGCACACGATATTATTTGCTAATGTTTGTTTGTGCGAACGACAGTGGCGTGGTTTTCGTGGGCGACCGGAGCCTCGGGGATGCCGCAGGAGGTGTCGATATCCGAGGACGCGATGAGCGCGTCCTGCGAGGGCTACGAGCACCGGGTGGTCCTTTCTAGCGTCGGCTTTTCGAGAGGAGTCCACTACTGGGAGCTGACGATCGACCGATACCACAGCGACACCGATCCGGCGTTCGGCATCGCGAGGGCCGACGTGACACGGGATCAAATGCTCGGTGAGTCCGGCGATTTTTTCTCGGAATGGTTGCATAGATGTCTCGAGCGCCACGCAATTGGTTTGCCCATTGTCCCGTCGGATCTTTCCAGGCAAAGACGACAAGGGTTGGAGCATGTACATAGACCGGCAGCGTTCCTGGTTCATGCACGGCGGCGGACACGCGCAGAGAACCGAGGGCGGCGTGCAGCAGGGCTCGACTGTCGGCGTCCTCCTGGATCTGGACACCACCCACACGCTCCGGTTCTTCGTGAACGATCAACCGCAAGGCGGTATCGCGTTTCGTGATCTCTACGGCGTGTTCTATCCTGCGGTCAGCCTGAACCGAGGGGTCACCGTCACCCTGCACACCGCGCTCGACGTTCCACGTCATCTGTTGGCGCTTCACGAAGAATACATCGCCGACATGGTTCAAAGCTAGGGGTACCTAAACGTCCTGAAGAAGGGCTTGCTGCAGGAAGTCGGATCGCCCGGACCCGGGACCTTCGAGAGACCCAGAGAATCCGACGGGCAACTCGAGAAAATAGTCGAGGAGAATCTCCCAGAGACCAATTGACGTCGATCGACCAACCGCCGTCGACGTCGTCGTCTCCGCCGCCGGCTCGTCTTGTTCCGACGGAGTTCGAGAATCGGCACGGATCACTGCCACCAGGGAAGCCGTTCAACCTGTCTCCCTGTTCGAAGACTGCCGCTTCGGCCATTTCGAAAGTACAGAAATTTCGAAGAGTTCTCCGTCTGACGATCGCCTTGCGATCGTTCTCTTAATCATATCGACGCGTATAAGTGTACTCTCTCGCGTAGACGTAAGCTTTATCGAATAGGTATTTAAACGAAACGCATTTCGAACGAAGCAAATAAGTAAGTAACTAAGGATAAGCAAGGACGACGAATTTTGAAGGAATAAAAAAAGAGGAGAGAGAGAGAGAACGGAAGAGAAAGAAGCAAAGCAAGCACACGTACGCACGCAATCTGGTCAGCTTTAGCGTAAAGTAACGAGTATCGAATCGAGTAAATGTTTTCTAGTCCCCTATAGGGTACTCCACCCTTGTCCCACGTTTTCCCCGGGTTTCCTCGTTCGGCACTATTTTGTCGCGTATCTCGCATGTATTCGCGTCACTCTTATTCGCATCTTTTTCCATGGTTTTTATACTTGATGAACTTGTTCGCGAGCGAAGCGAATATCGCGGAAATCGAAATTCCAGCTGGTTTCAAATACATGTTGCAGCGCACAAACCACGCGGCCTGTGGCCGCCGGCTCCTCCCAGCGACGTGGAGGATCAACGACGAGCGTTGTACATAATTGTACATAAATCATTCGATTGTACCGCCGATCCAACTTGCCAATTGTATTTACGACTGTATATCCGATCAATAAAACGCACCAAAAGCCACCGACGTCTCTGCGTTTTCTATTTGGTGCGTTTCGTGGATTTCGACGATTACGGAAATATTCGGAAGAGCGCGCGGAAGGGGGAAATCTCGAGCGGCGACACTGAAGAAACAAAGACCGATACTCATCACTCTGATGGCTTTCGCGTTTAATACCTAGCTATGCTCGTGGCAGCCGATGCGTGTGCAATCCTTTCTTTGTCGAGTGCAGCCGCGTTCGGCTTTGAAAGTCTTTCTCCCCTCCCCCCCCTCTCTCTACCTTTGTTTCCGATGCAAATATTCCAGTTCCGTCTCTTCTTCCGTTGCCCGAACAATCGACAGAAGTTTTCCTCGCCGTCCATTCGGCTTCGTTGCGGTTTCGATCGATTTACCGTCCAGCAGATTGGAAAAACTTGCGGTGCCGGTGAACTAAATCGTCGAGATCTCGGTTGGATGGTAAGAGGAGCCGACGGTTCCAGCTAAAGGGTCGCAGGACTCGCTCTCTCGGACTCTGGAGCTTGGCCGAGAACGAGAATAAGAACGAGACGGGTGGATCCGAGACGAGAATAACGTCTACGGTGTCTATAGAATAGATTGTTCGGCGAGCCGCCGCCTCGAGTTACCTCTTGTCGAGCAAACTGCATAGAAGCCAGAAAAGTGGTGCAATGGTATACTCGCCGCGGAGTTTCATCTTTCACCGCAAAACCGAACCGAGAGGAAGCAAAGCAAGTCTTGTCTCGCTCTCGGAAATTGAAACGATCCGACGCGTCGTCGCGATGACCGGTTTCGCAATTGTTGTTCGGGGAACACCGAGAGATTCTAGAGTACGATGAAATCTTTCTTTATTCGCTATTCTATGGAACTTGAGATAACAGTATACATATATACAGAGAGAACGAAAGATAGAAGCCCGTCGGATTAAGAATTGTGCAAGATTTTATTGAAAGCATTGTACGAAGTTTCCAAGTCGAAGATCAGCTGTCTGACTTGCGTGTCGGATAATTCGTCGGACGCGGACATGTTGTTCAGCGTTTGCAACCATTCCGCGACCTTTTCTTTCCCGTCGAAATCGCTCGGCAATATGCTCAGACGGTTCATGGTGTCCATAAGGTCTCGCAAGTCGGGATGCAACTGATCCATGGCTTTGATCTCCAGTCTTAACTTGTCCATCAACGTTATAAACAGAGATACGATGTCCGCGATGCATTTCGACGTGTTGCCTTTGTCATCTTTGATCGTGATAGGTCTGTCCTCTTTGATTCTCTCGAGAGCAGCCGGACAATCTAAACGAAACGCTCTCGCGAAAGCGTCTATCGTAGGGAATTGATCGCTTTGAACCTGAAATAAAGTACACGCGAATCAAACCGTACTGGCAGAATCTCTCTGAACAGAGATGAACCGCGGTTGTTATTGTAATCGGGTTGTGAAATCAAAATACCTGTTTAAACGCGGCTCTGTATTGCACCAACAGTTTGCTACAAGCAGCAGTGTACTCTTTCGGGGTGACGCAGTCTCTGATGTAGGCCTTTTCCAAGTGTTGCAAAGTGTTTACCACAGCGTACAAATCGGCTTGATTGTCGTGCTTTTCTCGTTCCCTGGCATTCTTGTATAATTTCACTTCTTCGTAAAGCTCTGGTCGTTCTTGAGCTATCGACATCGTTTGTTTGCTTCCAGCAAATATCTAAGGGTAACGCACACACGATCGAACGTAAACGTCAAAAGTTTGAGGTTAGGAACGCTGGCCAGAACGATAAACTGCACGCGATCGTAATTTTGCAATTAAAACGGGATCGTTCAACTTACGCGACAGCAATGAATATTCACACGGTTCAATTAAACGAGTCGTTTCGGGCGCACAATTGACGTTCGCGACAGCACCACGCATTCAGTGTTATCATACCAACTTCACGGATGCACACGACATCTACAGGAATAACAATCTTGTCGAGCTATAAATAAATTGTAAAGAACCTTGGAAAAACTTGTGCGCTAGACATTGTGCGATATAGAAAATACGATACGTTTCATCGCTGAATAATGCAATGAATATACAGCTAGAAAAGGTGATAAACACGAAAGAACTGAATGTTTTAGAAACCAAGAATTTGTACCAGTGGCTCCATCCGTGTTAAAAGCGTGAACTCGCGGACAAGATCGTTGCAGCGTTCTCTCATCGATGGCGCAGTAGGTCTTGATTCGAAATATAAAACAGCGCCATGTTGGTCTTTGCGCAGGGGGTTTGCGCAGAACGTTAAACTCGTCGGGGATGGACGTTTACTAGTGCGTACGATTGCGCTATTATCGCAATTATGTACCAGTGTATTCTCAATATTGTTTAATCTTCAGCAATGTCGCGACCGAATGGAATCGTTTCGAATGTTGAACAGGTAAATCCACTAGGTGATAGTTAAACGATCGTCATCGATCCATAGTTTCGATCGCGCTAAACGGAAGTCCTTCCCGCGTTCGCCGTTTTAACCAGACCCGCCATATTTTGTCGTAGAAGGGTGTATAAATCGTTTTAGAAGATTATCGATTGTAAATGTATTAATAACGTTAATTTAAAAGCAGAGCGATCGTAACACATTGTTCATAAGATATTGTATTCATTAGCACAGACTTAGTCTGTGCTATCAGTCGTTGCTAACGCTCGCGTTTTGCTAGTTCGCCAAGGCTCGACGACATTCGTCAAACATATGGTACGCATCGAGTTTTAAGAGAATGTTGAAGTCTTTTGCCACGGTTGGGGAGAGAGTAACTTAAAAAATCAATTAATTAATGATATTTTTATTATCGAATTTGAAAAACTAATATATCGATATCCGGTACAATTGAAGTATTTGCAATTCTCGAGGCGTTCTTTAAGCTGTTCATCTAACATTCTTTCCGTCTGTTACAGAATCTGAAGTTATTATGCGGGAAAGGAAGGAAGTGAAAGAGGAAAGGAAGAGTATTTTGAAATTCAAGGCCATGTATCTTGAAGCTCGAGACCATCTCCTTCGACGGTCGTGACGATCCCGGTGCCAGAAAAGTATTTCAATGGATGAAGATTCCAATGATGTAAGTACACATAATTGTATAATATCATTAAAGGTCGTAAATCCATTTATATTGGTAATCGGTAAAAACGATAAAAAACGATAAAAGCGATAAAAACGGTATACATAATCGGTAAAAGCAGTAAGAAGCAAAAATGTCGTTGGAGGGCGCCAAGATTTGCGATTGTCGTTTCGCGCCGCAAGATGGCGACGACGTGCGCCGATATTGACAGGTGCTGGGAGAGCATGGCGGCCAGTGTTTACGACAACTGATCGCGACCGATCGAATCCGCGGATGATCCGTGTGTTTCTCGTGTTGTTTACGCGACGGTGGTTTCGGCACGGTGTTCTGCGTCACCCGGTTGCCCCACTTAAGCGGTCGGGTGTTTCGGCGATCGATTTCGGGTCGTTCGGGACAGTTCGCGCTGTTCGCAGCCAGTGCGCGCTCGATCCCGGTCACTGGGATAAACGTGTGCTCCGGTCACGAGAGTCTCGGATCAGGTGGTGAGTTCGTCGTTGACGTTGACACGGGAGAGTGCTCGCAGAGGGGATCTCCGGGATACCACGACGCTCGTCTTAATCGTGAGTACCGAACCAAAGAATTATCGTTGGCTCTAGTATGATAGAAATGGAAGCGAAACGGTCGATGGACGCTAGGTCGGAGGGGGCCAGTCTCCTTTATCGGAGCGAGAGCTTTTGCTAAGAATTTGATAAGCGGCCGGACAGTAGAGGCCATCTTTGAGCCTCCCTGTGTGTGCACTACTACTCTGCAACGAATCTTCGGGCCGGCGAAACAGGATCGCGATAATATACACGAGTCGTGTTACATAAAACGCTCCTGTCTCTCTTGTCTCTTGTCCCATCCTGTCCCGTCGCAACGGATGACACACACGCACACACGCGCGAGCGCGCGCGCGCGCGCTCTGCACGCCTTAGGCCTTAGATAATCGTTACGCGAGAGGAAGGGCTTCCTTCTTCCTGCCGCGTATAGCTCGCCGTGGTGCCTTTTACGAGGATCGTATTTCAATGATCTATTTTAACAATAATAATATTTATTTACGGGCTAGTGCTCTCTTTGGTTAACAGCCAGTTACCGTAGCGTACAAATTGACACGAGACGTTTACATGATAATACTTAAAAGAAAACCTAAATACGTTCCGTCGGAAGGCGCAATATGTACATACTTTCAAAATGTAATCTCTGTCACGATATCGATTCACGTTGCATATGATTCTATCTGTACAATCATTACGAGCATACAAAAACCGATGAGATTTCTGTATAAGAAGATATGTCTCGAATTATGTTCCTGATTCCTAGCGATAAATCGACCGTTCCGCTTTCCGTCGGACTGCGTGTACACGGATGATAAATCAGTCTTAAACGTCGTCCGTCGACGATGCCGGTTCGCAAGCCGGATAAACTTTATTTCGGCCATTGTACGCGTCGGCCGTCGGTGTTCATCTTCCGATGACGGACCGTCCGTCGAGCGACGGCAGGACTTTCACTGACGATGTGTGCATGTGTGTGTGTGTGCGTTTGTCACCGTCGCAGAGGCTAGTCAGGTGTAAATTGATCCGATGATCTGACGGCGCAAATATTTGTGTCGGCCGGCTACCGCGGGGATCGGTTCGATTCGAATAATTGACAGCAATCGGGAATCGCAATTTGTTTGCGTTTGTTTTTTTGGGTGGTCAGAGAGATGGAAATCGAAACGGTTCTCGCCCGTTGTCCTATTTAAAGGTCGGTCGATCCACATTTTACCGCTGTCCGTGCTGTTATGGACATTTTTTTTTCTGTTTGTCAGACAACGCGCAAACGCTCCTTGCGGTACACCGTCGGCTCGTTACGTAACCCGCGAAAATGTCAAGGGGGAATCGACGAGGCGCGAATGAAATTAAAACGTTGTCTCGAACGAGCGGTATCGCGATAACGATACCAACGAGAGCGAGACCCGTTGGTCGTGATTAATCCTCGAACGACGATGAATCGTCTCGCGATGGGCAGGATGTAGACACACACAGAGAGATATGTAGGAGCTGGGGTGATTCTATTCCTTTTTATTTCGACGAGAAACGAGCGAACGAACTAACGAGCTATAACGAGTCGTTTGAGAATGATCTCTAATGCCATGGTCGGCGAGCGCCGCGTCTCTCGCTTGTTTACCTGATCCTTTTGTTATCTTATCATTATCTTTCGCGGCAGCTTGCTGCATGCCGGCGGTGGCAGTGTTTTTTTAGACGGCCGCGCGGCGGAGACCGTCGTCGGCGCTCGATAACTTTCTGAATCGAGATGCGAACGAAAATCTCAAGATCGGAATCGCGCCGCGGGACCGTCGAAAAGCCGGCGCCTCGGCCAATGAAATTTATCGATCGCGAATCGGGTCGGCGGCGGCCGACCGTGTTTCTCCTCGTGGATTTTTCCATTTTTCTTTTTCCTCGTTTTTGCGCGCGCATCCGTCCTCGACGACGCGCGCGTCACTCCGCCGTGCCGGCAAAAAAGCGCGTCGATCGATTAGGAGACAATTACGCGATTACGACTTCTGTAGGCGATTAATCAATGGGGCCCAAAGGTCGGAGCTGCCGACTTTCTCTGTCACCGAGCTCGTTTCTCGCGCGATCACCCGGTATACACCGTTGCGCTATATCGGTCGCTGGCAAAGAATAGGTAATTCTCGTCGCGGTCCGATAGTCGATCATGTAACCCGGACAAATGGATGATGCATTGAATGCGTCGAATGCATCGAATGCGTCGAATCGGTTGCAGCCGGCCGGCCAGCCGCTGCGGAACACTGTGCTCGCGCGATACTGCAATTATGCGAGATTACGCGAGCACGTTCTATATATTTCTCTCTTTCTTTCTTTCTTTATTTATTAACGGATATATATATCCTGCGGTACATAAAATTAGTTATAGAACGTAGGCGTCGGAATCGTAGACACACGAACAGCAGATCTTTTGGTCAAAAATATAATTTAGTATGCCTAGGATTATTTATGATTTCATTTACTAATCTTTTACAACACGTTTCTTAAACCGTTCGTTTCAGATGCGATTCTTTCTCTAGGAATCTTAACGAAGCTTGTGCAAATTTCAATTAATTATTACGAACCGAAGAAAATAAAGAAAAGTAAATATGAATGTAAATAAATATAATAAAAAAAAATCTAGATAAATATATAGATGCTTGAATATCTCAATATTTTTCCAAAACACACAGGAAGAACGTAGAAATGATAAAGGATACGGTGATGAATGCTTCGCTTTCTTTTTCTGACTTTAACAAATGTAAAATAAAGAACGTGGTCGCGTTCGGACGGTATCGGTAGACTTAGCGTTAAATAAATAAACAAATAAATCGAAGCAACTGTCTCGCCGAACAAGCGATCGTTTCGGATGAAACGAAATCGATCTCGCGTCGATTAAAAATCGCGTTCGCGGACCCCCAACGGGGCGCTGAGAAATCGCGAAGAGTCCGTTTCGGCGGCCGGTCTCGCGCAGGAAGTCGATTACAAATTCCCGCGTGCATTTATCGAATTAATTATACACCGTGGGTTGGCACGAAATGATCTATTGTGTTTGTATGGTCGTGTCACACGCTCCCCGGCGTTGTGCGTAAGTCGAGGGAATCGACCCTCGGACCGGATCTTGAATCCTCCACCGTCGACTCCTCCTCCTCCTCCTCCTCCTCCTCCTGCTCCTCCTCCTCCTCCTCCTTCTGCTTCTGCTTCTGCTCTGTCTCCTCCTGGCGCGTTTTTTTCTCTTTTCCCTCGGGAAGGGGGTAACGTGGAATTAAAAGGGCGGCAGCAGGTCTTGCGTGTCACCTATTCTGCCCGCCTAAACGAACCTGAAACGCTCTGCTCGCGCATTCAGCTCCGGTACAACAGATAAATATCTCAGTTAGCGCGGCGCATTGTGCGCCAATAAAATCCTTTTGTCCGGGCGAATCGACGCGCAGATTTTCGCCTCGCTCGAGTGGAACTGACGATCGTGGAAATCGCTTTTTGACACGAGAGCGAATCGACGTTACAGCAGAACTAAATAATAAAGCTTAAAGAAAAAGGCATTCGAAGTTTCATTTTCCCAATAATAATTTGGTTCTCGAAAATAATGAAATATTATTTTCACTAAATCTCGTAGCAATGTGTACCGAAGAAAATAAAGAAAAATAAATATGAATATAAATAAATATAATAATAAAAAAGAAATCTAGATAAATATAGATACTTGAATATTTCAATATTTTTCCAAACACACAGGAAGAACGTAGAAATGATAAAGGAATGCCGGACATTCGGCCGGTATCGGTAGACTTAGCGTTAAATAAACAAAAATAAATCGAAGCAACTCTCTCGCCGAGGATAATTCGCCGGATAATTGCTGTGAACGCACACGTGGCAGGTTTCTTTCGAAAACATGGCAACGAGGTTCCTCCGCGAGCTTCCTAGGACGCGTCGTTCTTCTTTTTTTCGGGTTGTTTGCGACTCAAACAACCCTTCTTTCACCGGGCTATCTCGCCCGGCAGCCGCGGGCTGCAAAGGACTAACGGATAAGATAAAAGCCGGATATCTTTGAGGACAAACAGTGGCCCGCGACGATTTCGACTGCGTTGCCGTCGTCACGGCTTCCGGTTTCGTTTTCCACGAATATCGGGGACCACGGGAACCCCGGAGAGGAGAGGATCCTTTCGGTACGCGTCCGCGACGGCGATTGATCGAAGGATCAATCGTCGAGGATCACCGGAGATCGACGGGATCCCGTGACCGGAAGCGAGTGAGAACCGCTGTTCGCGTAGGCGTACCCGTAGTCCCGTGTTCCTAGTTTAAAACGAGACTCCTTCGTAACTCTGTCGGCCGATAAAAAGAACCGCGAAGCGAGTGGATCGCGCGGAAACGACCGGCACGTCGCCTGCGATTTTCCGAAGGCATGCGCAGTTCCATGCACTTCGCCATCGCGAAGCGGAAAACCACGCGTCCAGAAGAATCGATGCGCGAGACGCGCATGGAAAAGTTCTTGGAACGCGCATCGTGTGTCTTAGCGCGGCATTTTTGCGTTCCGTTCCGTTCCGTTCCGTACTTTACGCAGCTCGCGCGGAGTCGGACGACATTTTATTCGGATGACGGATAAAAGATAATGGCTGACGAATTAAATTCTATTCGACGCGCTAGAAACCTGAAAAGTTTTCATCAAATTCAAGGATTTCATTCGTTTAAACAAAAATTACGAAGCAAACTTATATAGCATCAATTGCTTCATCAGCATTCGTACACCTCTTGCAAATCTTAATAAAATTAAGCAATTATTTTTAATTTTTCATTAATCATTCGTTCGGTTGTTAATCGACTGAATTTGAAACTGGGAGATCTCCCTATTCGGTTGGCTAAGTGTTCAGAATTTTCATCTGTAACCGTGTTCGATTTTAACGAATAAGAATTCGTACGGAAAATAATAATAGATCTGAATAAAAGAATTGTTGAAATTTTAGCCTCGAACAAAAATTAATCTATAGTTTACTTAGTACTAAGATACTAAGATATCGGTTTACATTTTCGTCGGTTCCGTCAGTGGGCAATGACGGTGATGTAAACTGTATATAGTAGATACCGCGATACATCATCACCGGTACCATTAGATATACATCGTACCCTGACTGTTTGGGGGTCCCAGCGTCACGTATACAATGTGAAACGCGACAAATAAAACGTCTCTGATTGGTGGACAAGACGAACCCAAAAAGGGTATAAAAGAAGCGTTTTTTCTTGCCGGACTCTTAGTAGAGTTTGGTCGCTCGATCGTTTTCGCCCATATACCTTCTCTCAATAAAGGAATAAAATAAAGTCTTTTTAAGAAAAGAATTAGAATCATATTCATTTTCAATCCATAATCCCAACAAGAATGATAGAGTATACACACATATATGCTAAAAATTTCATTGAGATCGGTTCTTTGCGCGCTTTTATCGTCTTCCTTACGTGTTCCCGATGAAAACACGGACGCGATGAACTTCCGGTGGAAATCATTTGCCGGAGCGACTCGCGAGTTCCTCGACCGGATTACCGAGATGATATCAGCGATTTTACCACGGCAATTAACGCCGCTACGCGATAGACGCTCGCTCGGCCGGCGGATCCGCGGCCATGTTTCTCTCCTCTAACTCTTCGCAGCAGAGATAGACTCGAGAACGATTAATCGACGCACAACGCTCGTTTCCACGGTCTAGCCACCGATACGCTAATTTCCTTCCGTTCTTTCGGCCGAGAGCCTCCGCGGTGTAATCGAGAATGAGATTTCGCACAGGGCACGGCGAACAAACGACCGAAAACGAAATTCAAAACAAAAAGTCGAATGAACGATCAATGTTATGTTTTTTCCACAATCTAAATACCAGTTCTTTTTCTACCAATACAATTGGCATATCTTACCAGGAACGATTTATTTTACCGAATATTGATCTTCGTTCGTTCAGTATTTCCTTCAATTTTACCATAAGCTTTACAGAAAGTCTCGCGAATTCGGTGGTGTGAAAAAAACTGAAATCGTTTCTCTGGTATTTTAACGTTTCCACGACCGCGCTAGAAACCTCAAAAGTTTTCATAAAATTAAAATATTTCATTCGTTTAAACAAAAATTACGAAGCAAACGTATATAGCATCAATTGCTTCATCAGCATTCGTACCTCTTGCAAATCTTCATAAAATTAAGTAATTATTTTCAATTTTTCATTGATCATCCATTCGGCTATTAATCGACTGAATTCGAAACGGTTGGCTAAGTGTTCAGAATTTTCATCTGTAACCGTGTTTAATTCTAACGCTAAGCCTACCAGGATTTAAAAGCGACGAACAAGTGTTTCGAAATTAACAAATGGCACAGTAATTGGCTCAGTTGATCCACGGTAACTCGACCAGCCTAATTGTAACCTCAGGAACGTAATAATTTTCGGGGCCGATAAACGAGTTCCCAGCCGACTGCGGGATCCTAGCGAGAAATCGACTAGCGGTCGCGAGTGTACATATTGAACTTGCTCCCGTGTATCCCGATTGCCGGAGTGTCGCACCGCCACTGGGCAAACGTGGGTGGCTGGCTAGCACGTTTACACGCGGTGAGTCAACGCGGCGGCGACGACGACGGCGACGCCGGCCGCCGTCGCTATTGTGCCGGATCCTTGAGAAATCGGACCGGGCCGGAGTTCCGCGAGGAATTAAGAATTGCCGGCCGGCTAATAGCCGATCGGAATCACGATAAACTAACGGTGGATCCTCGTCGCCGGGGTCGCCTTCGGATCGCGGACGTTCCGAACGTTCGCGAACGTTCGCGGACGTCGTTGTCGGCCCGGGGATCACCGTTTCGTGCCGCACCTTAATGAATTTCAATTGGTCCGTCTTGTTCTCCTCTTGTTCGTGCGAACACCGACTGGACGCGCGTACCGGGTTTACGACGCGGACGTGACCGCCTCGCATCCGATGACCATAAACGCCATTCCGAAACTTGCGAATACATAGCCGACCGTTCTGAAGGATTCTTGCGGGCCAGACCCGGCGCAGACGGTGCGTTACAGTGGCCTGATTTTAATTCGATTATCATAATTAAGCAAGCGATAATCTTTCATTTATTATACTTCATTATTATACTTATATTTTATTTATTATACTTCATTATTATACTTATATTTTATTTATTATACTTCATTTATTATATCAGGAATATTTGTTATGTCCGCTATATATTTATTGTATAATATTATTCAGTGTTCTAGTTAGTGTTCTCAGAACTGTTCGTTTTTACACGTACTCGTGCGACGGTTATACAAAATCTTTTTTTTGTCACCTTTTTCTGTGACAAAGTGTTTTTTGTCTATATCACTGGAAGGTTAACCAAGGACGGCTGCCGAACGAAGTTACGTTTTTTTTTTAAATTGTTAAAACGAGTACACCGGAGCCGTCGGAGCTCACCGGGTTCCACGTGCTCGGGACAGCAACACCTGTCGGAAGGTCGCGACTTCGCGATCTGAACCATCTCTGCCACCTCCGTCGACTCTCCACCCCCGCGATTTTCAACGTGGGCCTCGCTTTCTTCGTTTCACGGGTGAGCAATTAATCGAGCGGCCGTTAGGTAAAATGCTAGCGCAGAGAGGAAGGGGCCGGGGGGGGGGGGAGATAGCGCGAGGTGAAGGAGCGACTCGAGAGAGCGAGAGAAGCGGAAGAAGAGCTCGAAGCGCGTGCAGGAGTGGCCGTGGAGAATCGAGCGACGCACAGTGCTCTGGGCCTCTAGCTTACAACTCTTTACAGTTTTTTTCTAACACTCGGAGTCTGAATCATCCGAAATTTGACGCTAAGATCTATCGCGATCAAAATAAGACCGATTTTTCATTTTATACAGTACTATTAGATCGTTTTTCATTGGACATTTAGTTTGTTCCTTATCTTCTATTTATTTTTAACCCTTGTCTATTTAGCAAAAGCAAAAGCTCATTTGTCCCGGTGACTCATAGTGGATAGATACGAACTAATAGTTTCTACCTGGCTGCATCGGAAATGATTTGTAACTCGACCTAATACAAACTTCAGAGACTTCTTCGTGGGAATTGATCGAATAAATTACATTACTGCCGCAAGTTTTCTGAGTAGAACTTCACAAAGTCTAAATAAATTCTATCTTTACTCGAGATAGGCTTATTGTGAAAAGGTTCTCAGTTCATATAGAAACGAAGCATTTCGATGCATCGAGCCTGAAAAAATTGATTTTCGTCCATGGAACGCCAGGCTTGGTTAGACCGTTGCGCGACGATTCGATGCGGCGAAGTTAACTGGCCCTCTCGCCTCGCGGGGCTTCGTGCTAGCGGCGGACGGGGAAGGGGCAGGGAAGTGCGTGCGCGAGAGACGCGCTCTCTACCCTCTACGCCTAACGTCGTACTGTACACGCGAACACACGTACGAACGCGTTACACACGGCGCACGGTAGCTCCTCATAGAGAAGAGGAAGAGACAGTCGTTGGGTTGCCGCGAGGCTGCTCGCATCGCGTCGAACCGAAAGAAAAACGGGCCCCCACACCCTCGTGTGCTTCGTGTTCCGTGCTTATGCCAGTCGGTTTCCCCCCTTTATCTCGCTCGTGCACCGTTTCCTCCTTCTCTCCTGCTTCTCCAACTTCCCCCCCTCCCCTCCGCCCGGTATCGTGTGTTCGACGCTCGACGCCTCGTACCGTACCGTACCGATTGCCAGTGACGCGCGTGCAGCTCGCGTACACGAAGCGTGTGATCGATCGGCTCGCCGCGTTTCCCCCGAGCGATAGATAGCGAACTGGATCGCGGGAGCTCGCCGCGCGGATCCGTCGCGAGAAAACGGGTGGTGCAAGAGTAGTGCGGTCGTGTGCGACGTCGTGTCTTCTGAGATAGCGGTTCGTTGATCGGGGAGAGTGGCGCGAGGTGAGAATCAATGGAAGACAAAAGATGAAAGACGACGTTATAAAAGTCGAGAGATATAAAAGACGATGCTGCAAAAGACGACAGATAAAAGACGAAAGATGAAAGATCGGGATCTCGCGGGAAGGGAGCGTGGCGGGACGTCGGAAACGGGGGGGTTGTTATCGAGAGCACGGGGAGCTTGGAGAGCGCAGCGGGTTCGCGACCGGTGCAACTGGCTTCCACGAGTCGCTCCGAAAATAATCGTCGTATTTTTACCGTCTCTTTATGCCCACTTGGTCTCCGTGGCCGCCGGAGGCCGCGCAAAGTGGCGTTAATTCGCCGTGGAGCTGCGCCGCGAGGATGTCACGCCTTCTCGCGACAATTGCCTCCTCGCCGAGCAGGGAATTCTCGCTGTTCTCCCTTTCGACTCCGCTTCGTCTCGCCGCCGAAGCCAATTCCCAGAGATTCCAGAGGCTGGGAGCGGGTCGTAGGGTCCTCGAACATTTCGCCGGGATCGATTTTCTCGGATAAAAGACGAACCCCCGATTTCACCGCGTGCCTCGACCACCGCCTTTCGTCCGGCACCGCGCGCGTCGACTGTATTACAACGTTCATAATACATTAATGTCTCCCTAATTGACGCACAGATTGTGCACGAAAATGGACAATTTGGGAAGAGGAGATGCGATTATGCGAGCCTTGCAGCTCGTTTGTATAGTTGTCGACAATTTATAACTATAAAAATGAACCGCAAGGATCGAATAATCGTGTCTTATCTTCCTAAATTGTCCATTTTTGTGGACAATCTGAGCGTCAATTAGGGAGACATTACTGTAAAACGAAGATGTTTCTATTTTTGAAAATCAAAATAATAATCAAAAAATAACTAACTGACCAGCTAACTAGATTTATAGAAACGAGGACGCTATTTCATTTGTAATAGATCAGATCAATGAAGTAACGCTAATATTAACACTAAACCTACCGCGGTCAAAGTGACCGCTTTCTTATTTTGCAATTCTGCAAAGTTCCGAGACTCTTTCGTGGAAAACGCTTGAATAAGTTATATTATTGGAGCAAGTTTTATAATAAAAACTTTACAAATTCTAAATAAATTCGGTCTTCTCACTTTTGTGAAGCAGTACATGCCAGTTAGTATTACCGCTTTGGTAGGTTTAGTGTTAAATAAAGATTGGAAAAATATCCTTCTTAAGCTACAACGTAGTTAGGGAAAAAAATAGAAATTCCTTAAACAAAATTTACAAACTACTTCAATTCTTTCTCAATATTGTTCATTTTCGTATCATTCGTTACAACTATAGTGACTGAAATTAAATTAGATCAAATTTATTCAATAAAAAAAGTAGAAATACATTCTAGTTTTGTTTTGCGATAACTCTTCGAACAGAAGAGAAAATATTAATTGACAGAAAATAAACGGTAAGGCATCGGTTAATCCGTTTATCAATAAATAAATGAAAATTCGGTCAGCTAGAACGGTTTGCCTGGCGTTGCTGTTTGCCGATTGGAAGCCTGAATCTGAGCGTCAATTAGAGAGACATTGCTGTACATTCTCTCTATTTTTTCTTCGTTCTACGACGTTTCAACTTTGACGTAAAAAAAAAGAAAACAAATCCTGCATAGCTTTATCTCATTGCTGGAAAAAGTTCTTCGATTTTGGCCGAACCTTTCCATTTAGAACGACGCTAGTTGCGCTCGATTCTCGCGTAGGAGGTCTCTCGTTCGCGTCGTCGGAGTGTGTTTTCGATCGACCGACGGGACCTAGAAGTCGTCTTGCGCTATTGCGGGGATCGGGAGCCCCGGGACAACGTGTACAACTTTCCCAAGAACCTACGCTATCGTTCCCCCGTGTCTGTTGCTCTCGAGTTCCCGCGGGAACCTCGAAAGTTTGATCGACGACGAGGCGCGATCTCCGAGTTTCTGAAGAAACGCGAGGAACGCGGCAGCGAGGTGGACGAACCGAACGCACTGGTATTTCGAAAGTGGTGCAATTTGAACGGCCTCCGGTCGCATTATGACCCTAACTCATCCATCTCCCGGAACGATGATTCACGATAGGTTCCAGGTAGAGGCGCAGCTCGGTCGAAAATATTCTTGCCGGCGGTAAACGCTCGCGCGGATCGCGCTGCTGCAATCGTCGCCGGGCGCTCCCTTTCTGCGCGACCTTCTCCTCTCGCAGAGAACGCAGATTTTGCGGGAGGATCGTTGTTGGGGGTCGGGGGAAACTGCGTCGGCCTCGGATAAGAGATAAAGATCGACGAATCAATTTTAACCTCGACGCTGTCGATTATGAGATAGATATTCGAAATTGAAATGCATCTTGATACAAATTTATTCAAACGAAGAATTATTCGAATGAAAGGATCATTCAAAAATGTCTCGCAATCCGGAAGTGGAGGGCTGCCGAGGTCATTTCAAGCAACTTTTTCCTTTGCGAAAATTTTCTCCGAGACCTCGTTTACGAGTTATTAACGAAAAACACTGACCAATAAAAGGCGAGCTCGACTGGCGCGCGGCGGCCCAGCCAACGAGCGCACGGAGCGCAGTTCCGCCCACTGGCTCGGCCGTCACGTGCTAAATGATCTCGCCTCTGATTGGTCACTGTTTTTCGTTAATAACTTGTAAACGAAGCGGCGGATTGCATTTTCGCAAAGGAAAAAGTTGCTTCAAATGTCCTGAGGAAACCCCCATTTCCGGATTGCGAGACATTTTTGGGACACCCAGTATATTCGGACCGCGTATATAAACATCTGTCTGATATTTTGAGATATTCAACGCGTCGTTACCGGCACCGGTGTGTTAGAACCAGTGCTCTCCTCGCCTACTCCGTAGAGAACGTTGACCATTCTTCAACGAGTACGCGGAAAACAGCGAACGAGACTCGGCACGAGACTCGACGAGGTTTGTCTCTAGATAGCTAGGGCAATCAAAAATTATGATAAGCAGCCGATAAAGCGCAGCGCTCGGCGTCACGATCAGCTGTAGAGGCTTTCTACGTGTATGACGTATTCGAAGCCGCGTCATCGGCCGGGAACGGGTCGATCCACCAATCCGATCACGTTCGCGTTCGCTGTGTCGTCGTTGTCCAGCGTCTTTCGAATTGGGTCAGGAACGCCAGGAAATCTGTGGACGTAAGGGAATTGTTCCGGTATAGGCCGGCCAGAATTTCGGGCATACTAGGACGAAAGATGCCGGTGTTGATGCAGGTGCAGGTGAACCAATACTCGCTCTCACGGTCCGCGGTTCGCCTCTTTAGTCTGTCCATCGACCCTAACTAGCTATTTATATACGCGAGCCTCTTGTCTCTGTGGTCGTGGCTTCTGCGTATCTACGCCGACGAGATACACAAGCTCTCTGTGCACCGCATCGCGGCTACGAGTTCGCTCCAATTGCTGCTCCGAGCCACCCCTCGGGCCACCCTTTTATTATTCGCCCAAATATCGTTTGCTTATTAAAATTGTTTCGACAAGTTATCCATTGTTTATTCGTAGAACAGTCTAACAGTGAAGCTTACTATACTTACACCCCAAAAGGGATGGTCGATAATAACTGGGCTGCGGATCTTCATGCATTTATGGGGCAAATGTCACCCCTTGGGCCACCCTTTTATTATTTGCCCAAATATCGTTTGCTTATTAAATTTGTTTCGGCAAGTTATCCATATTCGTGGAACAATCTAAGCTATATAGTGAAGTTTAATATAGTTACCCTAAAAGGAATGGTCGATAATAACTGGCCTGCGGATCTTCATGCATTTATGGGGCAAATGTCACCCCTTAGACCACCCTTTTATTATTTTCCCAAATATCGTTTGCTTATTAAATTTGTTTCGGCAAGTTATCCATTGTTTATTCGTTTAGAACAATCCAAGCTGTACAGTGAAGTTTAATATAGTTACCCCAAAAGGGATGGTCGATAATAACTGGGATATTTATGCATTTATAGGGCAAATGTGTAGATAAAACACAATGAAAAAAATTAAAAAAGAAACTAAAAATGTTGGTACGTTGATTACAACTTATTAAAATGATCTTACATCTTGCAACCGATGCAGATAATTTTTATTCTGCATAAAGATCCGCAGTCTATTAATAACTGAAGCAGTTGACGCGATTAAAAAAGCACTTTAGTCATCGTCCAGTAGTTCCTCTATCATCTAAAAAAAAAGAATTCAAGTCATTAGGTCCAGTTTGAATAAAGTTCTACCGTTTTAAAGAGCGTCGACATATATTTGTCTCTGACTGTACGTGTACCCTAAATTATCGGGTATATATGCATCCCTAATATATATATTCAGCAATCCAAAGGGTGATCAGGCCGTCTAGTTAATAAACAAGAATAACAATAACAACGTCCCGGGGAAGAATAAACGATTCCTCGAGCGTGTCCCGTCGACGTCGTCGTGAAAGGAAAGGGAGCAGGATGCGAAGCCGAGACGCGCGCTCCATGTCGGACCACCGCCGTCACTCGCCGAATATGCTCGGCGCATAATTATCAGGGCCTCGGCTCTGCGAGATGCCACGTATGTACCGGCTTCTTCCAAAAGCACCGGCGTGTGCACTGCGTCGTCGACCAGCGGTGCGCCCGAGGACCGGAAGTTTCGATCGTTTATGGCCACCGAGTGTATCGACGAGCATCGTCGGGGCTCCTCCGATCGACGATACACGCCGGGAACGGCGGAGCCGTTCGATCTTTCCGATCCTCCGCGGATTTATCGGATCTCGGCGCACCGCAAAATTAATGGGCTCGATAAGGACGGTGCACCGCAAACCACCGCGAGACGCGCCGCGCCGACTCGAAATTCTCTTCTTGTTTCTGCGTTCCGCTTCCTCCCGAGGTAATCGCTCTGATTTCGATGATCGAACAATCGACCACGGCGGTGTGCGGCCATTGCGTACCAAAACGCGGTAAAAAACATTCATGCATTACACGCGACACGTTCTTTATAATAATTACTTTTTAATAATAATAATTTATAACAATAATAATTATTATTAATT